AGAAATAGCTATCTCTGTTTAAATTTAAAAACTTTATTATAACAGGTTAGCTAGCTCTTACTTAGAATCAGGTTATAACCTAAGTTATCAGGTATTATATAAAAATAGGCTCCTTTTTTATAATATTACTTAATATCTATTCTTATTTATATAACAAAGTAAATTATAAATTTATTATCTAAGACATCTTTTACTAATCTTAAATAAATATTAATAGCAGCTAGCCTATTTCTTTATATAAAGATTTTGCTAATAATATTATAAATAAAATATCCTAAGTTAACTAGTATACAAATAATTATAGTTAGATTAAGGATTACTTTTATTATAAAAAATAATAAAATTATATATTTTTATTTAAAATAATTTTATTTTTTTTTATTTTAACAGGTATTTTTTATCTATATATATAATTTTATACTAGATTTGTTTTTTTCCCGAGTCTAAGCTTTTATCTAAGAAGATAACTTATTCTTTTTATTTTTAATAAGTAATAGCTGCGGTTATTACTCTTATTAATTATATAATAAGCTTAAAAAAATAATTTTAGATAAAATGTTTATTTTATTTATAGCAGAGATAGCTACTAGTTTCTTATTTTTTTTATAATTTAATAAGTAATATTTATTATATTTTTCTCTAAGCGCTATTAATCTTTATATATAAGAGATATTATTCTTATTAGGCTATTATAACTTAAGTAGGTATCTAGTCTATTAATTCTGGGCTAGATTTTTGTCAGATTAGAGTAATTCGGGCTTTATATTTTTTAATTAAGAAGAATATCCTAGCTAGATTATAATTTATTTAGCATAATTAATTATAATAATCTTTATATATAGGCTCTTAAGGGATTCTGACTAGCCTTTTAATAAATTTTTAATTAATAATAATATTTAGTATAATTTTTTTTTATTTATCTGACCAGCTATAGCCTCCTGCTTATAATAAGATCTTATTAAAATTATTTAAGAATTTTTTTAATTTTATTTTTTTTTATTTTATTATATTTATTTAATTTAAGGCTTTTTATTATATATTAGGGTCCCTAAATACTTTATTTATTATTATAATTATTTTATTTAATATAATTACTTTAGAATTCTAGGCTTCTACTTAAAAGAATATCTATTATATAGCTTGTCCGTATAATTTATTATAAATATAAAAAACTTATTCTGGTCCCGACAGATAGCAGGTATTATTAATAACTAGTTTTATATATATATTTAGTTTAAACAGTTCATAATTACATTTATTTTTTTTATTAAATAGTTTTATATCAGGATACCTAGCATAAGATCTATAGTACAGCTTATATAATCACAGTAGTAGGCTTCTGGTCTTTTTATTATTTAAAACAAAGGTTATATTACTGCTTCACAGCTTATTTAATTATTTTTTAAAGTTTAACTTCTGTCTTACTATTTCTGTATAAAAATTTATTAACTCTTATAACAGAAGTTAGGTATTATTATTTATTAATATAGATACTATAATTAGTTATAGTTCTTCCGGTTTTATTTATTCTATTATTATTTCCTAGTATTTTCTTTTAATTCCTTTCTATTCTATTTATACACCTAGTCGAGCTCTGTCTAGGATTTTTATTATAATAAACTATTCCTAATATTACAGGATAAGAAAAAGCTTCTATTCTAAATATGCCTTAAATAAAAAAGAATAGCTGGAGAGCTATTCCTTACATCCGTACGAATCTTTTTATTATGTGGTATGCTAGTGCTAGTGGCCGCGAGGCCTTAGGCACCAAGAGGTGCCTTAGGCAGAGCTTTTATATCTGGGGGCAGTCCCATAACACCTATATATTATAATCGCTCCTACTGTAGCGATACCATTCCTACTCTCAAGCTTAGTATTCTCGTTAGTTATCACGCAAAAGATCTTTTCTAGACTAGTTACATCTGGCTTAATAAATTGCTAGGCGTTCTGGGCTATTGTAATTATCTAGAAACGCGTTCATCGGGGTGAGGCTGGCCGGGGAAGAAGCTTCTAAATCCGTTGAATCCAGTGTTGGCGATAACAGCAGTGGAGTTTGGTTTTAGCGCTAAAGATACTGACATCCGTCTGATCACAACGGCATGCGGCGTGCAATGGGATATAACTGCTCTCAGTAAAGCCTAGGGCAACCCGGGTTCATAACTATCATGTTACGAGGACCCATTCGCTTGATGAATTGAAGGAGGTTGATTTTATATCTAAAAAAACGACGAAAGTCGGCTTCTAATACCTGTTTTTAGTCACAGGCAACAAAGAAACCTGTAGGTAGGAGCTGTGCTGCCTTGTACTAGTGCTGATCACGCTATACATGAATCCGTTTAGGATATTCGACTTTGACAATACTTGAAGAAACCCACACTAGGAGAACAGATTTCAAATAGATGAGCAAGTAAGGTTTGTCTGCGCATAGTCGTAGGCATCTAGATACCCCATCAACTGGACTATAGCGGCGCATACCACTAGGATGTGAAAAATCGAATGGGAGCCCCATAAGTCGAATTTGCCCGGATATTGACTTTCAGGAAACCTGGTCTTTAGAACCGTGTGTTAAGATTAATTTCTCTCTTATGTGAGAATTTAGGAGACTTACTGCATAAAACGCAGTCCCAGATAGAAGACAGCCTGCTTTTGCCATAGTGTAGGGGAAAGCTTTTCTCATCATCTTTGACATGCCGAATACATTAAGTCCATGGACCAAGGGAGCAATACCGGACAAGCCAGTCGCCACGAACATCAATGCTCGGAAGAGGCGATATTTTGAGCCCTGAAGCTTGGGATGCATTGTCATGAAGATGGTTAAAGTCCCGAAAACTCCAATCTATTAACCGAGGGAAGAAGAGTGTTAGACTCAAGTACCAGGTCTGGGATAAGAAAAACAAAACTGTGTATATGAATATTAACTAACCATAGACCAGTAGATATTGCGTGGCAAAGGTTCACACCAGAAAACCATGTATATTCCCAATATAAGATCGCCTAGTATGAAAATTACTATACCCAGCATGTCCAGTCGCAGGCAGAAATGTTCAACGTGTTTAGAGTGGTTCATCAAGGTATGGTACGTCGCCGACAATGATAGACACGTGACGGCCGTCAACATAAAGATGGAGAAAGCAATAAAATCGGCGCCAGTAAACCCGGAATATCTGCTAGTAAAGTACTGCTGGATGTACCACTCGCCGAGTAGGAAAAAGATGGCTGGGATGAGGTGGGAATAAATGTTGACTGACTCGTTGTGGATATACGACCAACTGGAGAATGAAGCGTGAGCCGAGCCTGAGATAGGCCGATAGCCACGGAGAATCCACGGGTTGCATTCACGTCGGAACCATTCCGGCATCTCATCGAACGAGAGAAGAACTGGGTACCCTGCGTTACCAGCCTTGTATGCGGTGGTGGTACTAATGGATTCCATTCCCTCTGGGGACTGCAGGGGCGGAACTCGAAGACGGGGAGCGGATTCCATTTACTGACGTGCCTGATGATAATGTTATGTGGAAAAGCCAGACTTTGAGAGTAAGTGAAAATAAAAGATGAAAGGGGTGTGTCTCTTGCTTTTTTTTTTTGCACCACTGCCCTTTTATTAAGCGCCAGCCTCGTTAGCTGCCCTGTACAGAGCCCCACATGCAGCAGTCAGGCACGACATCCAGGAAGAGGGCTCCAGAGACGGTCAGGGTACCGTGTAGCCTATAAAATACATGTCAGTGTTCCCTGGCAAGAGCCGGAGTCCCGTATTGGTCTTTTCAGTTTACTCCATGACCCTAGAGCTGTCCACTGTCCTAGCACATGATTGCACCACTCTAACAACCTAGCCATGCTGATTTTACTATTGCTGACCGCACATTACGCAGTCCCGACAGAACATGCAGGAACCAACCAGATCAGGTTGTTCAAGCCAGGATGTTTAGCCTCAAATTATGCAATTGGTCCTCGCGACAAAAGCGGGGAACCCGTACGTGTCCTGTCCAGCACTTTCACAGGGACTCGTCTGTGCCTGTGCTATTCTCTAAATCCTTTCACCAGAAATTAGCTGACTGCGTACGTGCAGTGCGCCTGCTAGTGGCTGCGAGAAATTCTGGTTAGCCTAAGTGGCAACTAAGATATAGCTAAGTAGGTTGAGTATATTACTTACTCTGTAGGCAAAGGTTAGAAAAATATTGAGTAAGAACCTGCCTCTCCTGTGGTATATTTATTACTATATTCTTTATTTAAGTAATGACTATCATTACCTATAGTTAAGTTAATCTCGTACTAAAAAGGTACAGTACAGGTTTGCGGAGGTCACGCGAAATAACGATGTACCGCTTGCAGGGGAATTGGCGCAGCTAATGTGGGTGGGCTGGCGACCCCTGTTGTCTCCTCTTCCTGATGGGCCTCAATTGGGTGTGCGCAGTTGGGGGTTCGAAGTCGTACCCCAAGACCATCCTTCCCCTCTTCTATATTTTCTTTTAGTGTGACCCGACCGTACCTATCCCAGCCAATAGAACATCGCTGTGCTCCATCTGACACTAGGTAGGCACTAAAGCCCTCCTCGCGGCTGCCTCGGGTTTGAGGTGGAGGGGCGACTTTTACAATGATTTGTGTGATACAAAAGTACCTGGCGCCCAAGAGGGACTGATGGTAAATATCCGGGACCATTCATTAGTTCTGGCACATGCTCGGCTCGGCTGTAACCGCCAGGTTGTAGCGAAAGGTCCACAGGGCGTGTCAGGAAGCACACCACGTCCCTATTGGGCAACTAATTCCTAATATACGCGTACTGCGTACAGCTGACTACATCGGGGCGCAAAACCTGCAGGAGGAGAGAGAATCCTAACAGGATTGGAGGCCAAGCACGCTAAGTCGCTTTTGATATTGCACAGCCTGATCCGACCCAGCCTGGTCTGATCAATACACAGCACACTTTTCATTGATCGACCCATGTTCTTCCAGCCGAAGGATCCCAGTGGAATCCTCAACGCCATCAGTTTAGATGTGCAACTATGGATGACGACACTGATTCTCAAGGCCTGCTGCAATACGTGCTTGGATTATTCGCTCGAAAGCGACCACAAAGGTCGGCGAAGCAGGCGTCACTGGGGTCACGGAAACGCGAGGCCTGGCTACGGACGGATGCATTTCTGCAGCGCGATGATATTAGCGAAGCTGACCCAGAGAGTGTTTCAAGGACTTTGCGCGCATTTGAACATCTCGTTCAAGACGACTCCGATGGAGGGAGAGATTTTGTAGGTATCTTTCACATATAGTAAACCCAGTGTTTCGGTCTGATGGCCTTTCACTTCCTGCCTACTAACGATAATTCGCGGAGCAGAACTTCCAACAAGCCCGACATGAGCGGTATCCGAAGCTTCGCCGCATGATCGAGGGTCCGAATCGCCATCTAAATGACGACCCAGACACTGTCATTCGCGTTAGTAAACGGAGACGAGAATATGACGACGCCATTCAGGAACTTTTACATTTGGACCAGGAGAGAAAGAAGCGCCGAGTTCTGCCTCGTGAAGAGCCAACTCTTGAGTCCAACCTCAAAGACCCTGATGCCGAATTTGCCGTGCTGATGAGAAGACATCTGGTATCCTTGGACAATGCGTTGCGAAGACAATGGGTATGCGTTTGCCAGAAGTGCTCAGGTTTGAGCGTGAGATTGTCGCTGCCACGACACAGAAAAGATCTTGAGGCTGAAGCGAGTTTCGAAGTATTCTTCGGCGTGCGGTCCGTGCCTGCAACTGCATTGCAAGAAGCTAAAATCACGGTCAAGTAAGCTCTCGAAGCTTTATGTGCTGACTTTTATTCTGCTAACACTTTCGGCGCAGAGACCTTCAAAACTGCACATTGAGACGCTCATCTGAGCCTATAATTAGCCACCCACCTGACTTTGCCCACATATGCCAAAGCGTCACAGAGTCCCTCGATCAGCGAAATTGCTTGCATTTCACTCTTGAAAACGGGGTATTTCAGAGGCTTCGCCCGCAACCAAAGACATTTGGTAGCGACCGCATGTCTCAGACAGTATCCTTGTCGGCATTTTTCAATCGCCAGCAAGAATTACTTCGTGGTGAATCGGTGCTGCCACTCAAGGGGAAGCGAGTCTTGGCTGTTACACTGGCATCTGCACTACTTCCCTTCTTGGAGACGCCATGGCTGCAGTTTTCCTTCAATCACTCGAAGATCCAGTTTTTTGAGCCACGGCAGGGCGGAGAACTCCCCAACATCACAAAACCTTTCCTAACACTGGAGCACGTTCCAATGATGTCAAACCGCAGTACACACACCGGAGACAGCTCTGGAGCCACAAAACACATGGTTCATCCCAACGCCAGTGTGCTAGCTCTGGGCATACTATTGTGCGAGCTTCACTATTGTACACCTGTGGAGCTGATGGCAAAGGACCCGCATGTCGTCAGGAAGGTCAACGATGATTTTTATACCTGTCTCGATAAGCTTCAGACTCTGGAAGACGACGCTGGCGTGGACTACTATCTCGCTACGAAGGCATGCCTCACTGGGGAGTACTATCCCCTTGGACAGCACGCTGACTTCGAGGATGTCAGCGTTCAGCGGCTTTTCTACCAAAACGTCGTCAAACGGCTTGAGACCGTGATATTCAAGGCATGGGGTATTCGATTAGAGGACTTGGGTTCATTCGATTCTCGACAAAATGAATCCTGCTGGGGCTCTATCGGCCGAGAAGTTGTCCGCCTCCATACAGGCAAGATAGATTCCTCTAATGCAAACAATACAGCAAGGGCAGCTCTGCCTCGTTCAATGTCTGACGCCGTGCCCGTGAGCCACGCATCCCTTCACTCAGATATCACGCTACGAATATCGGCACAGCGTTCTTCAGGATCACAAGCTCATAGACAACTCGCCGAGCCTTCACAGAAGAGCTTGCACTTTTTTGATGCAAGTCGACAGACGGGTCCTGTACAAGAGTGAGGTATTTCGTATTGGCGACAAGACTTCGTCGTACTAATGACTTGCCAGGAATCCACTCTCGGAAAAATGGATGAACAATCTGCTGTCCTCGATTCATGCCTATGTTGACCCCGATTTCGACCTTGCGGAACCGGTGCGAATAGCGATCTTGGACTCTGGACTCGACCCTGAAAATCCATTCCTGGTTGCGGACCAGCAACGGACTAACCCACAAATCAAGGACGCACGAAGTTTTGTATATGGAACAGAACCGCACGACATTCAAGACGAGATCGGGCACGGAACTCATGCTCTTGGCCTTCTTCTCAAAGTTGCCCCAGGCGCTGAGATCTATGTCGCCAGAATTGCGCGACGAGAGACTCTGGATCCCAATACCTACGATGGCATTGCAAAGGCAAGTCTGTCTATATACCATAGCATACTTTTTGAGCTAACCTAAAAGCCTGTTCAGGCCATCGATCACGCAGTCAACGAATGGAAAGTGGACATTATATCAATATCATTCGGCATTCGTGAATATCACGAGCTCATGAGCACAGCTGTCTCGAACGCACTGAATAAGCAGACTCTGTTATTCGCGGCAGCATCGAATGATGGAGCAAATCTTGGCAGAGCTTTTCCAGCTCAATATCCCAGCGTCTTTTGTATACACTCAACCGATGGAAATGGCAATCCCTCCAAATTCAACCCTACAGCAAGCGAAACGGACGTCAACTTCAGTCTACTTGGGGAGGATGTCTCTTCTCTCTGGCCGGCTGGTATGGACGGATACGACGAGATCGTCAATGTTATGTCAGGAACATCGGTCGCAACACCGATCGCCGCTGGCCTTGCCGCATCGGTCCTATCTTTTGTCCGGCAGCAGGATCAGCACATAACTGTAGAAGGTGAAAGGCTGGGACAGTGGCTGAAAAGGAACAATTCCATGGATGCGGTCTTCAAGCGTATGGTTAAACGTAGGCGGGGGGTAGGCTACGACTACATCACACCTCATGTGCTCTTCGATATGGGTTCGACAAGGGAGGATGTTTACGGACGAATCAAGGATATCAAAAGGAACATGTACAAATACTAGAAGAAGCCTAAGCATGGCTAACTCAACCTATAATCACACAAGGTTCATTGATAACTATCTCAGCTGTAGTCCAAGATTCGTTTGGCAGGATTAAGCGGGAACGCAATATACGTTGCCATTGTCGGTCACATCTGGAACAGCCTCAGCAGTCCTGATATCAGCTCCATCCACGTCCTCAACCAAAACACAATCCTCGTCATCTTTTGTCGCGCCAACTGTCATAAATGCGCCCTTATTGAACTCTTCGAGCTTCAGTCTGCGCCCAAACCTGAGCCTCTTCACGCGGAACGCAAATACAAATTCCGATTGGCGATTGGACTCCGTCGCATCATCATTCGCACTAGTCCATTGGCCTCTTGGCCCAAAGATCGTGCCCAGCGTGTTCACGTCGATGCCGAGGTTCCCCCTAACCGTCGTGCTCTGTGAAGTCGAGTATTTGATCTTGGCGCCCTTGACGAGCTTCATGCCCGTAACGACGAAAAGCTCGCTGACGAGTGCGAACTTCTGCCTAGGCTCTCTCAGCCATGTCTGCACGGCTGGTGCTTTGATAGCCTCTTCCACGTATTCCTGAGTCGGCTCAAACGCCAACGTCGTCACCGTGTCGAACGCAAACATATTTGCCGTTTTGTTTGAATGCCCAACGTGCACCTCAGGACCAAAGGGTAGTCCACCAGTAGCCAGCTGCAGGAACTGTGCATAGACACCCAAACCGAGCCCCGTCTCGGTTGAAACAGTCTTCTTCCAGTCGGTCTCCACGACAGGTGGGAGTGCATTAGCTACAGTAACAACGCGCCCTCTGTTCAGAGGGTATTGCGGTGCTGACGTGGAGCGGATTATAGACCCAAGACATAGCGGGCCACTTGGTGGTGGAGATATGAAATCGGACGTCGGACACAGGAAATATGTCTTGGTAAAGGACATGGCTTCAAAATTCAGGTTCAGATACCGGACTCTTTGGACCAAGTGAAATGATCGAAAGACCAGAAGAAGAGTGTGTTCAGAGAGGCTAGGTTCCTCCAACGTAACCGGCGTATTTTCTAGTGCATGTCCACGGCGACATCGAATCCCGCACGGGCGCTTACTTCTCCTCTCTTCTGTCAGACTGCCACACCGGCCCCAAGCTGGCAGGCCAATCGAGTCGTGCCAGTTGATTAACCTGGCCGCCAGGTAAACTAGCGCAGCCGGGCCTCTGATTGCGAGCGGATAGCGTGCTTTAGGCTCGTAGCCCGGCACCGAAGACACATTCTGCTTTCGCATTCTCCGACACTTGCAATTTGTGCGATAATTTTATCGCCTCAGTGGAGATTTGCTTACCCAGGACCTTTAGACCGTCATTTCCATGCAGAGAACAGGATCGGATTCCTGGATATTTGCCACACTCAGAAGGTCTCGCGACCGCCCGCACTGCGCCGCTCATCATGGAAAGCCACGAGTGCGCCGAAGACGAGTTTATGGAAGATGTCTTCCTCCAAGAGGATCTTAGCCCGACCATTGCAGAGCATGCGACACAATGCCAGTCTCTTTTCCACAAGTGCATAGTCATACCAGAAATTGTGCCAGACCCTACTATCATGGACGACCAGCTGGCCCGCTTTGCGCTATGGGCATCAAATATGGATGTCTACGGGCCGCCCAATGTCTCGCTGGACTACAGACTCCGGTTCAGCCCCGTGGCTGCGGATATCATACATCAGCTCCTGGATATTATCTACGATACCCTGCTGTCTTGTAAGTACTTTCCGCACCACATTCGGATGGTTTGAAGATCAAGGCTAACGGGGGTCTCGACAATAGTGAAGCCAATCGACGACCGACCACCACAAATCTCGAGCAGGAAGAGACAACGCATTTCAGTAAATGGCAATTCTGGATTCACGAGGAGATCCGATGACGATACAAGCGATTCAGAGAGTGATATCGATCCAGCAGAAGAGAACATGCTAAAGATCACCGAGACAATCGGCGGAACATTGACGCGGCTCTTCCGTCTATCCAACGCCGTCCGAAAATCCGCTAAAACCAATCGAGCTCGCAAGATCGAAAGGTATAGAGACGACGAAGAGGCAAACAAGGCAATAGATGAGTTGCGACTCTATACTAAATGCTATATTGAATTCCGATTCCCAGAGGCGCCGGAGGCGCTCCGCTCAGCCCTGGTCGAAGCCAACGCGCTGCGACTTCGACGGCTGTATTATCAGCGCTCCCATAGAAGGCGCATTGATCTAAGTATTCAGATCCCGGAACCGACTCCAGCCGTTGTCCAACTCCCCAAAATGACGGTGAATGCGCCAGCTGTGCGGTTTGCGCCGAGCGCGCTGCCAAAGCCTGCGAGGACCAACACAATGCTGGCCCCAGTGCCAGCGCCAGCAACGAATGCGACTACCGCCCGACAAACTGCGGTTGCGGAATTCTACGCTAAATCCACAACGGAGATTCCCCGGGCTAAATCTGTTCTTGTGAACGACAAGTTGCCGTTTCCTCCGATACCGCCGACGCCGCAGTGTCCATACTGCGGTGTCATTGTTGAGTTCAAGAACAGTGCAAGGTCACTACTGTGGCAGTAAGCGGGCAATTTCTGTCTTCATGGGAATATGTGGCTAACATTCACCAGAAATCATGTCATTGGGGACCTAGAGCCCTTCATTTGTGTTTTTTCACACTGCCTGCAAGGAGATCACCACGGGCACGGAACCGGTCCGCTCACATTCGAAACGTCGAAAGCCTGGGTCGGTCACATGCAGACTGCTCACGGACATACCTGGGAGTGCAGGTCCCCTTCTCATGATCCAATCGTCTTTGACCAAGAGATCCTGTACCAGGAGCATTCCATCAAGGAGCACGGCGTGCCTGAAGCGCACGCTGGGACCCTCAGCAATGCCGCAAGGAGGTCAGTTCTCGATAAGGTTCTGGAGTGTCCATTTGGCGACGATTTCCAACCCTCGGGAAAGGCCGAATCCAGCACTGTCTTCTCGAGTGAGGCTCTCCAGTCACACGTCGCCGGTCATATGAAGGAAATTGCTCTGCTTACACTGCAAAAACTACCCAGCGATGATGATGAAAACGTGGAGGACGTCGATAGCGATCAACCGTTAGAAGATGATGGGCCGGGCGGTCCTTATGGGATTACACGTGCGTCCATGAACAGCGTACTGGACGACGAGGGACTGAATTTCCAAGACGACGACGCTGAGGCTGCGGATGGCAATTTAGGACACCGCGAAGAGGACATCACTGCACGGGTGACCGAACTCGCTATAGAGGACAAAGGCGACTTGGGGATGACAAAGTTTCACCACGCGATGCAGGCCGGCGATCTGGGGTTGGTTGAGTCCTTGCTTCAGAGCGGCGCAAGTGCAAATTTGAGGGACGAAAATGGCCAAACGCCACTGCATTACGCTGCGGAGATGGGCTTCATCGACTGTATAGATGTCTTGCTCAAGCACGGCGTGGATTCGCATATTATTGACAGCTCTGGATTTTCCCCATTTCTCTGGGCTGTGGTGGCAGGCCAAGAAGGCGCCACTACGGAATTGATTTCCATGGACGCTGATGTCAATTCATTCAGCGCAGATGGAAAGTCTGCGCTCGCTTGGGCAGCTAGCCTGGGATGGTCTCCAATTGCTGAAATGCTTGTTAAACAGGGTGCCAGCATATATGATACCCGAACCACTCAGCAGACTTTGCCTTTGGAAGAAGCGACAGCTTCTGGCAACCTTGCCACTGTTCAATTGCTACTCGAATGTGGCGCGGATCCGCATCATCGTGATCGCGATGGTTGGTCTGCGATACATTGGGCAGCAGAGGAAGGCTATCTGGAGGTTGTGCGTTTGTTGCTGATCGCTGATGCCAACCCTAATGCTGTTAGCTCTTACGGTACGTCCCCGTTGCACTGTGCTGCAAATGGAGGGCATGTTTCCATTGTGAGCTTGCTCCTCCTACACCAAGCCGACCCACTCAAGTCAACATGCCACGGTTGGACTGCACTACACCATGCTGCCTTCATGGGACACTCCCAGGTCGTCAAGCGCCTCTTAGAAGACAGCCGTATACGGTCTACTGCCTCTCAGCAAGACAACCACGGCTGGTCCGCTCTTCATTTGGCCATCCACAGTCAAGATGTAGCCACCGTCCATATCCTGCTCGACGAATCCGTCATTGCAGAGCCTCAGACCCTATTCGACGAAAGCGGCCTCACTGCAGAAGATTGGCTGGATCGCGAGCCGACAAGCCATTCCCAGAAAGCCATCAGCAACTTAGCGTTCAGCAAGTCGCGCTGTTGCCGGGCCGTCACAAGCCTTCGCCAAGCTGTTACCATGGGCAACGTTCCTATGATCAAACTTCTTATCAAATTAGGTCACGACATCAATGGCATAAACTCTGGAAGGAGGACTGCGCTCTACTATGCCGCAAAGAAGGGCATGCTTTCCATCATGGATCTGCTTCTTGACCTGGGTGCGGATCCCAACATTATCCCCACAGGGCGAAAGAACTGGGAAGAATTTATTTCGGCTGGTGACGTTTTACTGCGGCTCAACCGAGCAGGATACTTAAAGCGAGATACCGACCATGAGGTCGAGCGCCAGATTCGTCATTTGCTTAGAATGCAAAGTCAGCCGTCTGTGCCGAATCAACCAGCCGGGTTCATATCGGATGAGTCGACTTTACCAATGCCGGACCAATCTGTCTCCCATGGGCCAGACCGGCTGTCCTCATCTATTCTAGTTTCTTCTACGCCACCTTCTACAGATCATTCATCTTCAAGTAAACTGACACATTCGCCGGCGCCTACACACCAGATAAATGACAATAAGCGTAAGGCAAGGTCAGGCCCGACAAATTGGTGGAAACGGCTCATGGGTAGAAGATAGCGACCTCAGTCCTTAAATACGAGAGTGAAGAGCAACAGAATGGTTACGGGCTGTTCTGGCCTTGAATTTTGACGAGGTTGGGAATGTGACATGGCCCAGTCTAACTAAAGCAGCAGCTTCGATTCAGTAGATTCAAAACCTACGGATTGGATGTCCTCTGAGCAGAAAAAAGGCACATACCTCTGCACTCATGATGCCTGTGAATGATAGGTCAACGGTACTTTAGATGCTTTCCGTGTAAATGAATTCCATTCGACTAGAAACGTTTTTAACATTAATGCCAAGGGCAATACGTAAAGCGCAATTATGAACACAGGCTCAAATTTTCCTCGTGACTTAGCTCTGCCACTGCGATTATTGCGCAATGCTTTATGAACTACTGGTAAGGATGCGATCCATCATATGTCCGATATCCGGCAGGGACTGTAGATGCTGTTCTACTCTTTGCCTCGGTAAGCCCCTAGATGATGCCAAACCATACTGCTTCCCAATGATTAGGCACTCCACAAAAGTCTTGCAAGCCCGCTTATGAAGCGACCCCGGAGGTTCCTTTGCTATCAGCGCCCCTATTTCTTCCATTATGGCCTCACCAATCAGCCACCGGTGAGCGCTGGCATTCTCCCGGCAAAGAATCAAGCATGCTGCTGGGGGTATGTCGAGAAAGCGGTCTTGTCCCTTCTCATGGGCCTGTCGTGCGAATTGGAAAATACTGGTCAGAAAGAGACGTAATTTGGTAGAGTCGCGACTTTCGCTCATGATGAATAGCTCATTAGCGCATGCTTGGTTCGCATCGCTAAACAATTCAACCTCGTAGATGCTGCCGATGTATCCTTCGAAGAACTCCGAGACGACCCGGGAGAAATACCCGATCGGCTCTGGTTCCTGTTTGTCGATTATGGCGAAGTGGCCTGTTATGAGTAGGGTCGTCCGATGTACGTTCTCTTCCCGGTTCCCATTCCGAACACAGCCATCGAAGTCGCTCAAAAACTCGCGGATACCGAAGTGGAAGAACTCCAATGCGCCCCTGTCGCAGCCGATGGCGGCCCAATCTGAAATTGCCGCAGCTGTAATAGCATCTCCTTCTCTCCATCCGTGCCGGACTGCCGTGAGTTTCGTTTCCATGCCGGTGAAGACCGTGATGGCCAGAAGTGCCTGAAGATCTCTGGGTGCGACCTTCTGCAAGATCTGCGTCGACAAGTCGCCCATGGCCTTCAGCTTCTTCGGTTTCCTGGCAACAACTATCCCCAAAAAGAACGTATTGTACAGTTTCGTCCATGCTCGCAGTTCGTCCGTTTTGTTCTCCTGGACGAGCTCCTGCAGTACCGACAGACTGTCCCAGCGGTTCAACGCCACAAATTTGAGATAAAGGGACATCAATTCGAGAACGAGGGGAAAGCGAAGAGAAAGGCCCAGCCCTTTCATGACCAGGCCGACAAATCGCGATGAACGCTTGAAGCGTGCGAGGAAGACCTGGTCCTGGAGCCCAAGTAGCTCTTTCACCCGCTCGTCCATTGGATCCGTAGGTCCCCTCAGGGAAGGAACTCCCAGCAAAGCAGGCAGTTTGTCCACCCGTGCCCCGTGCTCAAGTAATTCCTGCGTCATTTCTCTCGAATTCGCCAGAATGGCTCGCATCAACGGAGTGTCCGTGTCGCCATACTCCGCCGTGGCCTCCAGACGGGCCCCGTGTTCGAGTAGCACAGAAACGACGTCCCTGTGCTGTCCGGTGACCGCGATATGAAGTGCCGTCAACATGCTTCGATCTTTGAAATTGACACGCGCACCATGGTCAAGCAGCAGTTTCACCAATTCTCGGTGCCCTTGGTTGACGGCCCAGGAGAGCGGCATCCGGCCATAGTTGTCCTTGCGCGAAATGAGGCGGGGATGCTTGCTAATTAAAAGCTTGGCCCAGGGTACATTGCCGAAGTATGAGGCAAGATCCAAGAGTGTAAAGGAGGGAGGGCTTCCGCCGTTTTTCTCCTGCTCCCAGTAGGCTTCCCACCATTCCTCCCGGATCGGTGAGTCGTCTCGGAAGAACGGACGTGAGAGCTCGGACGGTATATCGATCACATGAATAGCGTGGTGGAAATGCACTGGCCAGTACTGACTGGCATAAGATAAGAAGGGATTATGGCCAGACATTTCATGAATCTTTCCGGAATTTCTGTATCCGCGTTCGACGTGTGCTAAACAGGTCTGCATGAGAGTCCTGTGTGTATCCTGGCTCATATAGAACATGCTGATCCCTTTGATGTTGACTTGATCGCTCTGAAAGAATTCCTTCGCCGATTCGTGAACCAGGTTTACGATACCTCCTTCGACCTTCACGAGCAACCCGCCGAACCTGAGCCGATTCCTGGTCACCTGCGTTGCTGAAAGAGTGCCAGCCGCCTTAATCCCTGCGGCCACGGTCAATTCTTCTAGTGTGAGGGGCCTGGCTGCAAGAACAACCCATTGAAGAATGGGGACCAATGCTTCCTTGTCGTTAATCTGCTGAAGAAGCCGCTGATAAATTCCACCCAGGCCTTTGGGAACATGGCGGAGAACCTCATTTATCCTACTCCAACTCCTGCCCTGAAGCTCATTGGCAACGAATCCAACCCACAGAAAGGTCCCATCAGCGCCAGCTAGCAAGGTCTGCTGAACCTGCGCGACCATCTCTTCAGAAAGATTTTGCTCGGATGCCAGTTCCGCCACTTTAGCGAAGATGTACCTCTCGACATCATGTGAAACTCCCGTGTCGGAAGTGTCTAACTGGATCTGATGATATTGACCGAATTTGCTCTCCAAAACTGCCGGCTGGGGTCGGGAGAGGATAATGAGCTTCAGTCGTGGCCTTGCCTTTTCCCCAGACTTCGACAAGTAATTCCTAACAGCATCAAGAAGCTGCTTGAGTGATTCCTTTTCGCATTCATCCAGGCCGTCTAGAACACAGACTACCTGGGAAGACGTGCTCTGCTGAAGTAGGGTCAGGAAGACCCTCCACAACGAGACAAAACTGGAAATCGTATATTTGGTTGTTTCTGTCCCCTCGAAGGAGTTCTTAATTTCTTTAGCCAGATGCGGATGGAGATCAATCCATTGATGCAGGATGCCTCTCATGATGGTCAAAGCGGTGTTCCGATTCTTGTCGCGGTTACTGCAGAAGTAGTACAAAAGGACATTATCGGCGGCGTCAACCACAGGCTGTAGCACCTCGGTAATATAAATCGCCAGCATGGTCTTTCCTTTTCCAGGGCCACCCGAGATCCAGAGGAGTGGGTGATTCGCATCTGCTAGCCACTCTTGATAGTGGGGATGCTGTATGAGCCATTCGCAGGTGCCGTCAACCCTGCGTCCTTTCAATGCAATGAGGGACTTCCGATCAACCTCGGGTCTTGTCAGAAGCAAAGCATCAAGAACAGGCGCTGCCTCGATATACGACGTTTTCGCCAGAGGCATCGTCTTAGACACCGTGGGTATAAAAGAGAGGACCTCTTGCGCGTATGCTGCCGCAGCCGCTGCGGCGTAGGCGTGCCAGAGCCCGGACCTATGCGAATCTGCATAGTTGTAAATTCCTCGGATGATCAAATACTTGGCGGTACCCCTCAGTCCGGCTGCGTCCGTATCGAAACAGAGAATATCATGTTTGTGTGCGAACTTGTCCCGGGTCGCTCCGTCGCGCATCAAGTGATAGCTGGAGGCAATCAGGCCATAATGAACTATGGGGTCCTGTACCTCGCGAGGCTGCCGGGATCGGATCATATCCGGATTGCAATGATTGCATCCGCTTTCTTCGGATTCGAAGGTTACATGATCATAATTCGGCTCGAAGACGATGTCTTGCTCTGGGCCAGGATGGGCAAAGGTGACGGGATCTTTCTGCACGATCTCGGAGACGTACTGGGCTACCTTACTTTCACCAAAAATTGCGGCTGTCTCGGCCTTCCCCATAGCTGTGAGAAGCAATGGTGTCGGCTGATCTGACACTCTGCCGCGAACAAACTGATCTTCTATTCGCTCCCCGTTCATGTCATACTGGACGACACCTGACCACTCAGCTTTCGACTTGCTGACCACAACATCACCAAGACGAATATCCTCCTTCGTACCTGGCACTCCTCCCGCAATGCCGACCATGAGATTGAACCGGACAGATGGGTAGTCTGTGTGCAACTGTGTGGCCACGTCGGCTATCGATGTTTTCCCACACACCCCGGGATTCGGATACGCCACAACGACATTGTGACCTTGAAGACTCCCCAGAATGTAGTTATTGTTGCCATCTGGATTCTGATCCGGCAGTAGATTGTCATGGACGCGATCAAGCGTTGCTTTGGCTGCGGCGACCTCTATAGGCCGTGCGCAAACCCACCCGACTGCGTAGTCATCACCGAACGCCATCTCCGGCTTGGGCGCAGGTCAAGAAATGAGAGACTCCAGGAACGTCGGTGCCGAGGCGTTATGTTAGGTATGTCGAAGCTGCCTGAACTGTCTATGTATTATTGGGAACGAGGTCGACTTTCTGGAACATTACACAAAGTATTATGGGCGAGCAAAGCAATTGATCAAATTAGGATTACGTCAACAAACATACGCCGGATGACAGGATAGACAGGCTTTTTAATTTGCATTCCCCTTTAGCCTGTGTGTGAGCAACTTTCTTGAGCCCACTCACAGCTTAACCCCTTAATTTCCATTAGACCAGAGAAACATGCTCAGCCTGGAACCTACCCAATCAAACCCTTAAAAACCCTGGTCTGTTTATGCAAGCTGTCGCAGTGGAGGGATTTGGAGAACGGCTCGAGCGCGCACTAGTACCCGTGATGGTGCCTGATAGGATCCTTGTCGCGCCATGATGGTGCTTCTGGCGCTAAATGACGGGCTCTCAATGGCCCTGGCCTTGTCCTTGCCATTGCTGGTATGATCGCGCACCCTCCATGATCCTTCTTGATAGGCGGTACTATTCACTGTCACTCGTTTCCAGCAGTCTATACTTTTCATCCTTCTTATAATAAGGTATTTTATTGTAATCTCCCTTATTTTCCTTACTGAAAGAAAGCTGGCCTTTCGGAGAAAGTCCAACGCCGTTATTAAATCTCAAAATCACCCATTAACTTTGTCTAAGCGCAAGACGCTGGACAGCGTTAGATATAATACCATTTCTTCCCTGCTAGTCATTATCTCACTGTATTTTATCATTTTTATTAGCATAGGTAGCGTTGGCGTTGGCAGGTGGCTTGAGGCAAACTAACCTGGACTGATACAGAATAATAAACTGACACCATTCTGGGCTGGAGCCTTTTTTGCTGTCTCCGTTTTCGTGAATAGCGGAATGTCTCTTCTAAATACGAATAACGCTGTTCTGCAACAAGATACCTTCCTCTTAAATTTAGGTATTCTTATCCTCGCTGGCAACACGTTCAACCCATGTTTCCTGAGGTGTATTATCTGGATTATACGATTGATACTGCCTGATAGGCCTGCATGGAGATCATGGCGGGTGACCCTTGATTTTATTCTCGACCACCTTAGAAGGGTCTATACAAACCTGTATCCTACTCGGCATACATGGTACCTTCTCGGTGCTATCATTATTCGGAATAATGTTAGCTGGATGGCGTTTGAAGTATTGTCTATCGGGAATAAGGGGATTGAATCTCTTACCACCTAATATCGGGTACTGGATGGACTATTTCAGACATTAGCTATCCGCCGAGGAGGTTTCTCCGTCGTTGACATCGCGATTCTGCGACAAGGTCTTCTCTTTCTCCACGTTATAATGATGTATATCCCCGCATTTCCTATGCTAGTGACGATGCGCAATACCAACGTCTACCAGGAACGCTCGCTCGGTATCTATGCCCACGACGAAAGCCCCCAGGCACCAGAGCATGCTATTCGCCTGGGAAACACCATAATAGACTTATTATAGCATTATTCAGGCCGGCCTGTCCTTACGGAGTCCTCACGCTTCTAGTTTGTGCTCCAAAAATTACGCTCACAGTTGAGCTACGATATCTGGTTAGTCGTGCTGGTGGTGCTTTCAATCACAATTGCCGAGTATGACCACTATCAAGAAAGCTCGGTCGCATTCGGTACATTCAATATTATCTTCGAGGTTTTTTCTGCTTATGGCCGCGTGGGTGTGAGCATGGAAATCCCAGGGACGAACTACTCGTTCTGTGGATCGTGGCCTACGATCAGCAAGTCAATATTAGCTGCTGCTATTCTGTACGGATGGCATCGAGAATCACCTGTTGCTATTGATAAGGCAATAATGTTGCCCAGTGAGTCATTAGCGTGGGCCGAGGAAGAGAACGCTGCGTTACAGAGGGAGATATCCAGGGCACCACGTATGGCAAGTATGGCGAATATGCCGAACGAGGGATCGGCGTGGGTCGATAATGATTAACAGAATATCTGTCGCCGGGAGACGCACACGGCTTTCCCTATAATAAATATACCTCTTAAATCGGTTTAAATCCGCGTTCGATACTGCCAGAGCCATAATTTCTAACGGCACTTAGCGGGATATATTTTATTAAATGGGAAAATGCTACTCCCGTGGTAATCAGAATCCAACAGGTGTGTGTGCTATCTCTGGCGATAATTTTGACTAACAAATACTTATTTAATATGGGATGGTTACTGGTTTTCGTTATTACATATAGCCCTATCTAGGTACCCCCGCTTTAAATATCCTCATGCTCTGATCGAGCAAAATACGACTAACTGCTCGGAGTCACTCGTGGGGTAGACATATGTAGGTTGGCGGGGCGCTTCGTCGTAGTCTGAGCATGTATGCCAGCTCCAGAGTAAGTATTAGGATTCTGCCATCCCCTTCGGGTTAACTAGCTCCGTAACCTGGTCAGTGTATTAGTAAATCTCCCTTTCCACTAACGTAATCCACAAGCGAGCCGCGGATACAACCGAACCGCGGATCCTTCGCCATGGCCATTACTATTTGAAGCTATTCAATCACAAACTCCATTAAATTTACTGAATAAATATATGAAAATTCAGCTATTTACTAGGACAGCTCCGAATTGTATGTCCAACTGTTCCACAGCCACTGCAGCGTGGCAAAGCCCGTTGACGAGGTACAGGAGTAGTTTGCTCAGGCTGCTCATTAAGCTGCGTATTTAGCTGCTGAACGCGATTTTGGCCTTCCTGTACAGATAAAAGGGTATCATTCCCTAGTAGAGCACGCCTTCTTGCTTTCTTTTTATATTTTCGCTCATTTTCGGCTCGTAAAGTCTTGATTTCTTGCTGTAAAAGGAGGTTGGTTTGCATCGCCATTTGAGCAGCCTTTTCAAGATGTTGAATATGAGCAATTGGGCTACTAGAAAGCTTTTGTTTAGCACTAAGACTGTTCTGTAAGCTGCGTATCTCTCGATCTAACTGGCGAGTATTCTGTGGAGTCTGGAAAGCAGAGGAAATTGACCCTTCAACTAGTGACGGTGCAGGTGTAGGTGTATGTAGTTGAAAGGTAAGCTTTGAAAGAACTCGTTCTTGATTAAGTGGCTTAAGCCCTGCTCCTGCGAAACCACTGCAGATATTTGTAGAAGTAAAGACTTGAGCCCGTGCGTCTGGATATAGTGATAAAAAGTCCTCTTTATCAATATGGTTGTTACCCGCAATTATACGCCCTTCAAGCAGTTTTCCGTATGCGCGTTTAAGCGGGCCAAAAACACCCACATCAAGCGGTTGAAGAAGGTGCGAAGCGTGAGCAGGCATATAAAGATATATTATTGTATTTTGTTTGCAAAAATTGTCGAATTCAGCAGTCAAATGACTACTATGGCCATCCAGAATGAGCAGGCGTTTTGCCCTAGTCATATAACGCCTAGAGGAGGGTTCAAAGACATTCTTTAGCTAAAGAAGACCTATTTCATCGGTAGTCCAGCCATTTTGGCTTGTTGTAATCCACTAGTCTCCGGCAAGTTTAGGTTCTTGAAACCATGCGGCCTGTTGATTGCCTGCTTTAAGTATAATGACTGGTGGTATATGTACGCCGCTTGAGCTGACTGTTTCGATGATTGTAACCTATTCACGATTACCCTGGATAACCCTGCGTGGCCGCTCACTACGCTCTACTGCAGTAATAACTTTAGCAGCTGAGTAGAGCCCCATTGCAAAGCCAGTTTTATTAAAATTCCAGATATCGTCTTCGTGTATGCCGTGTTCTTGGATAGTCTCGTGGACAGTTTGAAACTATGGTATTATAATCTTCGGATCTTCTTGTTTTGCGCGTTGATATGTAATCCGTCTGTTGTATCGTGTACGTAGTTGAGGATGGCGTTTAGTAAAATTATATGACCAGTTAACTCCAATTATTGCCGTAGGGATTTGAAGACGCGAACGAAGTAATATCTCTGCTATTTCACGTAGGAATTCGGGGCGAATTGGAAATCCTCGTGTATCTGCATCTAGTAATCGCTTAACAAGGATTTCTTCTTCAAATTGAGAAAGTTTATGGCCATTGGCGCGCGTTTCTGATCGTGGTTTTACACCGCGGAGTTGATCGCGTAGAGTATTTTCAGGGATCATAAAAACCTGTGCAGCGCGTAATATAGATTTAATTTGACCCTTTTGATAAGCTGAAATAGCTATCTGAATACGCGATTCTTTAGAAGGAGGCATATTGCATTCAGTGTTGAAGATATGACGCGTTGAATAAAGGGGGTGGAATGCTGATTGAGGATCCGCGGTTCGGTTGTATCCGCGGCTCGCTTGTGGATTACGTTAACTAACCCCGTTCTGACCCTGGAGCCTTGGGCAGGACTTCCCGTGCTGTATTTTCTACCCAGAGCACTATAAATGGCGCCTCTCGGCTTCCTGATAGCAGGCTTGAACTTCACACGAGAGGCGGATTGCGCGTAGCCGAACAAAAACAGGGACCATGTTTGGTTTGCCGCTACTCTTTTCTCCACCTTAAGAGTACTACTACTTTGATGGATGCTGCATATTTTCCACCACACGGGCTTTCGTTTACAGGACAACTCACGCTTCCCAACTTTGTTGCCCTCATTCAGTTGGCCGTTGCAGGGTCTTATGTTGGCTTCCGCATGGACTAGGTGGCAAGAATTTATTGGTGGATTCATACCGAACCCCCTCACAGGGATATATGTAGTGCTATTTAGCGCAGGGCCTCACCAAGCCTGCCCTCGCCTGCTGTAATCTGTTGTTAAGCGAGTTTATGAAGCTAATTCGAGATAGAAGATTTCAAAGAGTATGATCACTGCTCATTCAGTCCATCACTTACTAACTGCCAAAGACTCATTCGATCTCCAGAATTTTATTTTTTTATTGGACATGATCGGCGGAAGTTGACAATCCACGCCGGGCTTGCCCATAACCTATCGGCCCCGCTGGATGCTCTCATGAACAATGGTTGCATGAAAGAAGCGGTATCCCAAACTGCCACTATAACTGACGTGGAAGAGGAAACTTTCGTTACATCATTTATAATATAATTGGTTTATCAACCTTTGCTCAAGCCATGCGATCAAGGTATTATCTCCGTAAGTATTCCATATTTACACAGTATGCAGTATTAAAATGTATATAGTGTTAATTAGGCTATATTTCTAACTAGCTACTATGAAACCCAGTTTAGAGTTGGCATCGGTGCGGATTCGGGCGGTGGAAGGCCATCTCGGGACCGCCCGCAGCGGGTTTCGGGCTCAAAATCGGGAACCCGCAACCGTTGCGGGTTGGGGCGGGTTCGGTGCGGTTTTTACTAAGAAATTTGCAGCCTAGCCTATTTTAGTATGTGTAGCAAGATCTCTATAATACTAAACTAACTATAGTTAAATTCGGTATAGCTTTAGTATAGATTTAATATAAATTATAAACCTGTTTTTAGATATAGATTTATTGCCTGATTAATTAAAAAAAATTATATATTATAATTTATTTTAATAGATTTTCGGAGATAAAAATAAAATATATAATATATTTTATATTAAATTATTTATTTTTATAATAAAAATTATAATTTCTTCTATAATTAGCAAGATTAATTAATTATACTAAATATTATTATAATATATATCTAATATATATATATCTTATAAGTATTTCCTGACTAGTAGCCTAGTAAACCTCTTATTTAATCTTTTAATATATATAAGATAACTTATTACTTTATAAAAAACTAAGAAAGCGAGCTAATAAGTAATTAAATTATAGTTTAATTATTTTATTATCTAAATTATCTTACTCTTATTCTTTAATACTAACTTAGTCTTTCTTATTAAGGATTTTATTTTATTATACTAAGAGATATAACAGGCCACAGATTATTATATAATCCTACTTAATTAATTATATATTTTTATTAATATCAGAAAAATAGTAATATTTATTATTAATAATTTATATAAATAATTAAAATAAAATCCTCTATTTTATTATATTAATAACTGTTTTTAATTGCTGGTAGACTAAAATCTGCTAGAAATATTACTAATTAATTAAATTATAGTATATATATATAATTTTTTTATTAATTATAATATTATTTAACTTTCTTTTTTATTACCCTTATCTTTTGTAAATGGCCTCTTTTATAAAAGTTTTTTATAAAAGCTATTATTTATAAAAGCACCCCCCTCCCCTCCCTTTCACCCTAGTAAGTAGTAATTAGACTATAGTTTAATTATACTTTATTAAATTTATTATTTATCTTTAATCTTTTTTAACTTTTATTTAAATCTTTTATTCCTCTACTTAGTTAATTAAACTATAATTTAATTAATTTTAATTTTAATTATTATTTACAGACTATAATACTTACTAAATAGAAGAAAACCCTTAAAAAAGAAAAAAAAAAAAATAAGCTAATATTATACAAGATAATAAAATATAATACTAATTAAAAGACTAGTTTTTTAATATACTAGTTCTTAATATATATCTATTAATTATAAAATAGTCTAGTAATCTTTATTAGCATTAACTAAATAAAAAATTTATAAACTAATTATAAAAATCCTTCCGAGCAGATATTCGCTGCTAAAATATTAAAAATTATTTAAAATATATTATTATAAATATAAAATATAACTTTAATAAGCTCTTAAAAATCCTTTATGCTTTTTATAAGAATTCTAATAAAAAAAATAATAAAATATTATTAAAAGCTATTAATAATCAGATAACTACTTATATATAGAATCTTACTATAATTTAATTATAAAAAAAACTAACTTTCTTAAAATAAAATATTTTTTTTAATTAAGTCTGAATTAGAATACCCTGCAGTTATTAATACTGGAATTTATATACTTTTAATTATCTTATGTAATAGCTAGCACCAGATAATAATAATAAAATAAATACTAAAATAATAAAAATTATATAATTCTATAGGAGTTAAAGACCTGTGTGATAATCTAATCCTAATATTAATTAATTAAATAGATAATTATTAATTATACTATAATTTAATTATCTTATTAAACTAATTATAGGATTATCTCTAAATATATAATATTTATAATATTAATAAGCTTAATTTTTTACTCCTTTAAGTACTTATTAAAAATATAATATACCCTTATCAGGCAAATAATAAAAAATATTTTATTTATAATCTTATTTTATTACTTAAGAGTAAATTAAAATAAGAATAAAATAATCTACTTAATAAAAAGTAACTTTAAATCTAGTACTAGCAGAATTATAATATTATAACTAACTTAGTTACCTATATTTATATAATTCTTAGAAATAATACTTTCCGCCCGAAATTTTTATAATTCTATTTAACACAGTATAGTAAAGTAATATTTTCCTAGATATTAACTAATAAAATTATAACTTTTAAAATTAATTAAGTAAAAGTTTAATAAAACTTACTAGGAGAATAAAAAAAAACTAATTATAATTAAATTTAGCTTAATAAGTTTTATAAATTTAAACTTTTTTATAAAATAGTATTTTTATAAATAAAAACTAATATTTTATATTATAACTAGTTAGAGATTATCAAGCTCAAGACTTAATTAAAAGATAATTATACTATATATTATCTGCTTTTTTTTTTAATATAAAATAATTATTAGCACGCTAATAGCCGTCTAAAAAAAACTATATAATTAATAAATAATTTATATAAAGAAGTCTAATATTTCCTAAAGCTGGGAAAGCCTTTTTATATAACTAGTAAAGAAAATAATCCTTTAATAAGAAAATTTAAGTATTATTATTCTAGATTCTTGTTCAAATTATTAAATAATTAATATATTATAATATTTAACCAGATATCTGCTAATACCTATTTAGAACTTCTTATATAATAAATACCTAAGAAAATTAATTATAGTTTAATTAAAATATTAAATAATAATAGACATGGCTAGGCAGTCTTAGAGAAGAATATAATTTAAATTATAAAAAGTTTCTTAAGATATATTATAATATAAGTTAAATATTAGATGAATATAGCATTTTATCTTGTAATTTTTATAGGTTATAAGCCCGGAGATTTAATTAACTAAGTTTTTTATTCAGATCCCTAGAATCCTTAGAACCTTTATTTAGGGCCCCTAAAACAGATTTTAAAGTAATTAATTATCTTTAAGATAAACAAAACATCTTAACGAAATAGTTATAGTATCTAGAAAGTATATTGTATCTTAACTTATATTAATAAAGAATTACTAGGATTAGATTAAAGATCTTAATATAGAACTATAAATTAAAGGTATATTTTATATAGTTAGTAATAAGTTCCCTTGCTTTGAGGCCCCGGTATTAATTTTAAAAAGACTAGTACTATTTAATATGGTCTAAAGAGCCTAGAATAGGCTTTTTAAATAAAAAAATAATAATACTAAAGTAATAAATATTATTTTCGCTTTATTATTTAAAGCTATCTACTATAAGTTTATTTATTTTTATATCGCTATAGACCTCGTGAAGGCCCTGTCTAGAAAATATAAAATTATATATAATATTTAATTTTTTAAAGAGTTTTAATTAGCAATAATAATAACTTATCTATAATATAAAAATATAAATAAGTATATTAAGAAGATATCCTCAGCGCTAGATTATTTTAATAAAAGTCTAAAGAAAGAAGTCATCTTTAATAAATTAGTTTATATTTAGTTTCTTCTTTGTAATTTAGGAAAAACATAATAAATCTTTTTAATTTTTTATTTTAACTCGTGCTTTAATAAAGATATTATGATTTATACTAAGATATCTTAGGTCCTGATTCAGGAAGAAATGCGTGTGAAATTTAACTAGGAATTAGTAAATCTTATTAAGATTAGAACTAGTAAAAAGCTTAGTAAAGATAAGGATAAAAATTAAAAAAATAAAAAAAAAAAGAAGAACTCTAAGAATTAAAAGAATAATAATAATCTAAAATTATCTCTAGAGTACTCTTACTGCAAGAAATTAAGCTATAAAAAAAAGAATTATTAAAAAAAATACCCTAAGAAAGTCCTTTAATAAGTAAAAGACTAATAAGAAAAAAGAAAGTAGTAAAGAAAAGAGATAAAGTCCTCTAATGTTTTACTTAATAATAATATTATATATATAGCTTTTGAGAGAGGTGGCCCTGGTAATTTAGAAGAAAAGGTAATTAAAATTAATATTAAAAAAATTTATTATATAAGCTAAAATAACTGGATTATTAATTTAGGGTTAACTTGTTACTTTATTAATAATCCTAGTAATTTTATTATAGGGACCGCGCAGCTATCCCACTGTGGGATTTATATAGTAACGGGTTATTTAATTTATTTAATACTTACTAAAAATGTTAAGTTGCTTTTTAAATATCTTATAAAAATTTAAAAAATAATCTTTATTAGTGTTTTTTATCTTCTAAAGATAAAAGTTAATTTAGTAGGAATTATTAAGATAAACTAGAAAGATCTTAGTATTAATTTCTTCCTAAATAAAGTTATTTTTATAAAAATATTAAATAAATTAGTTATTAGATACAGAGATATTCAGAAAGACACTTATATTATAAAATTAGTTAAGGGTTATAATTTAAATTAGATCTTATTTTAGTAAAATAAGACCTCTTTTATAAAATAAATAGTTAAAATTTAGTACGCGAATTATTAATTAAAACCTTACTATATTCAAACAATAAAGAAAACTCGTGTTAATTTCAGAATATAGTACTGTTGACTTACTTATTTTTTAATTAGAAATATAAAATATTTAAATAAGATAATTAATAGGTTAAATATTAAGGGTTTTATTATACTAAAACACACCTATGAGCCCTGCCAGAAGGCCTTAATAATAATAAAAAATAAATAAGAAATAATCACTCCAGCAAAGAGATGTAAAAATTATGTTTTTATAGATTTAGAGGATAATTATTTTAATATATTATTTATTTATAAAAATAGAGCAAAGTATTAGATCTTATTTTATAATTAATATAATAGATTTGCTTCGGTTAAATTCTTAAAGATAAAAGATTAAGTATATTTAATAATTTAGGTATATACTAATTTTGAAAAAACCGCAGGATACTTAATTTAATATTTTTATTCTAATAATAATAAAGAATTTACTAATCATAAAATATTAAAATAAGTAAAAAAATAAAAGATTAAGTAGGAATTTACTTCTGTATATATTTATAGCTAGAATTTACTTATTAAGCGCCTTTTAAAAACTATTTTTATAAAGGTCCGCGTTATTTTAATTAATAATAATTTACTCTGTTATTTATGAGCTAAGATAATAAAAATAATTATTTTTATTTATAATATCTCGCCCGTGCGCGATAAAGAATTAACTTTATATAAAATTAAAAATAATTAGAGGCCTAATATTAAAGGATTAAAAATTATTAATTATAAGATTATAATTATTATTCTCCCTGAGGTCCGGTCTCGTGAGAAAGTAATAAAAATTAACTTTAAAGTATTTAACGCGAGACTTATTAAATATATATCTTTAGGCAAATAATATATTATCTAGATTCTTTTAATAAAGGAGTTAAAGCAGGTCTGTAATGTATAATTTAATAAAGGATTAGATCTAGACTTATATAGAATACCTGATAATAATTATAAAAGTTAAAAGGTACTTTTATTAATTAATTTATTATTCTAAAACCCCTATAAAATTAAATTAGATAATAATTTTAAAAATAAACTTATTTAATACTTTTTTCCTAAACTAATACTTATTAATTATATTTTTTTTATCTCTGAACTACCAGTGGCAAACTAGCTGCTAATTATTTATTTTTTTTATAATAATATCTTCTTGACTAGTAATTATTATAGAGATTATAATAAAATAATTAAATCTTTTTTATTTAATAAAGCTATTGCCTTTCTATATACAGATAAATAATAAAAAGTTATAAAGTCGGAATTTAACAGCCTAGTTAAGTAAGAATTATAAAAACTTGTAAATCTGCCCCCTGGTTATAAAGCACTTTATAATTATTAGATTTATAAGCTAAAATTAGATATTAATAATTAAATTTTATATTTTAAAGCTAGATAGGTTACTTAAAGCTTTATATAAAAATATAGAGTTAATTTTTGGGATATTTTTTCACTTATAATATATTTAATAACTATCTAATTATTCTTTACCTTAATAACAGCTATAAATTTTAAATATTTTTAAAGAGATATCCCGCTTATATTCCTGTAAAATAATTTCTTTAATAATAAGATTATTTATATAAAACAGCTAAAAGGATTTAAAAATAATTTTAAATATATTTATTAATTATTTTAACTGCTTTATAGCTTAAAACAAGCTGCACGGGCGTGGTATCTTACTTTATAATAAAATTTAGCTAAAATAAGCTTCTTCTTAACCTCTGTGGATAAGTATCTTTTTATTAATATGAATAGGATCTTCTTAATTATTTATATTAATAATATCTTAATGGCTAGTAATTATAAGGCTGTTAAAGGGATAATAGCGGTTATCTGAGATATTTTTAATAGTGCTTATTTTTAGGAAGCTGCTTATTATCTAGAAGTAAAGATAGAAAGAAACAGAGAGAAAAGAATACTTAAATTAATTTAATCTATATATATATAGTATGTTCTTAATGATTTTGACCACAATTTAAATAAGATCTTATTTATTTTAGCCCGCGAAAATATTAAATTAACTAAATTAATTACAGAGAAACTGAATTTTAATTTTTTAAAGTAATATTAAAAGTTATTTAGCTTAATTATATATATTATTTTCTAGACTCGCCCTGATATTTTATTTAAAACCAGATAACTTATGTGATTTACTTTAAATCCTGATAACTTATATACAAGAAACTTAATTTACTTTTTCTGATTTTTCTGATTAATAATTAATTACGGTATTATTTTTTGCTTATAAATTAAAGATAAAAAGATAGAAATAGTAGAATAATTAGGAATAGTAGAAGAATATGTGGATACAGATTTTGCTAGTAATCTTAATATACGGAGATCTATTACTAGCTTTATTTTTATATTAATTAGTAAACCTATTTCTTGGACCTTAAAGCTATAGATTATAATAAGCTTATCTATATATAAGGCTAAATATATTATAATTAGTATAGCAGGCAGGGAAGTAATTTAGATTATTTAGATATTTAAATTAATTAGTTTTAGTAACGTGAGGCTAATAATTATTTATACTAACTTAGAACCTGCTTTAAAACTTATAAAGAACGCCTAAATATATGCCTGAAGTAAATATATTAATATTTAACTTACTAGATTCGCGAGGTGATTTAACGTGGTAATATTAAACTTTAATACTTAACTATAGATAGAATAATCGCGGATATATTAATAAAGGCGCTCTTGCGTGTTAAATTTGAATAATATATTAAATTAATAGGTGTTAAATAATTATAGCTAAATAAGAATATTTAAATAGAATACTTTAGTTTTAAGATAACTATTATTTTAAGAGGGTGTGTGGGAACTCCTGGTATCCTAGATAGGTATACTAGAATATTCCCGCTAAAATAAGGTCATCTGTAGTAATTTACCGGAGATCTCCTAAATTAAATAGGAACCCCCAGTAAGATTATGAGATATAAAATAGGGTCCTCTAGTGTATTTAGATCTTCTCTTTATTATTATCTTAATCATCAGAAATTGAATGTTTTATTTAAGACAAATACGGTGTCTTACCTCGTAATTCCTACAAATATACTTGTGAAGATAGTAGGCCCGACAAAGTATTAAATAAATTAAATTTTATCAGGTTTTATAATTAAGAAAAAGAAGAAGAATATTTTTTTTATAATATTAGTATTACTGATTAAATATATTTAAAGAAAATAGAATTATTCTTGTTATTAGGGATTTATATTAATATATTATATAATTTTTGAATTTAATAACTTATAATTAGCTATAATTAAACTATAGTTAAATTTATATATATCTTTTTTATAGTCTTTAATAGACTAGATTCTTAAAGCGTAGATTTATTATTATATTAAATATATTAAACTTTATTATCTAAAGATTAGATTTTAAGCTTATGTAAAAATGCTTTAACTAAAAGCTAGATAATATAAGCTAGATAAGAAAAATAATAATAAGATTTAAGATTTTTTTAAAAAATAAAATTAAATACTATTTCTTAAAGAAAGTTATTATTTTTAAAAGAAAATTTAAGTTATTAAAATAAATGTTAAAATATAGTCTGGTTATTACTTATATTATTAGTAATTATCTTAAGAAGTCGTGATTAAAGTTAATATTTATATAAAATCTTAAAAATAATTTTAAATAAATAAGATCTAGTATATTCTCCGGAAAGAGGGGGAAATCCTAAGAAAATCTTAAAATATTTAAAATTAGAGATAATAAAATATTCTGTAATAACTATAAATAACTTTTGATTAGGACTAGTCTAATAATTAATAATAATTAATATTTTTCTTTTAGAGGGAAAACAGTTAAATAATAATTTATAAAAAGTAGTAAAAACTTTAATTAGTTAATCTTTTATATGCTTTTAATTCGGAATTATAATATTTAAGGAAATTAAAATTATTTTTAATATTTATTTAAACTAAATATATTTAATTATTAAAAACAGAAGTTAACAAGTAATAATATAATAAAGGACTTGATTAGTAGACTTATGATAAAAGTATATATTTAGTTAAAAAATATAAAAAGTAAAGTTAGTAATTAAATTATAGTTTAATTATAAAAATAAATTAATACTTACTTTGTTTTTTATGTATTTTATAATTATTTTTTTAAATTTCCGTGATATGTTAGATATACTATATTATAATATTAATATATAAGTTTTTATTATTAATATTCTTTTATAATCAAAAGATAGATAACTAAATAAGAAATAATAATATATATAACGGATTTTTAGCTTATTATTTTTTAAAATAGTTATTTTATTAAAGTATTTTTATTCTAGTAATTATTTTACTGTTAACTAGTTTTTTAAATCTTATAATTATTTTCTATATATTATTTTTTTTTAATAGCTAAAAAAGATTTCCTGGAAAATCAGAAAGAATATATTAAAATAATTATTATTTATTAGAAATTAGATTACTTTATGTTGTCCTTTTGCTTATGAAAGAATTTAAAATTAAAAAGGTACTTTTAAAGAAGATAGTTGCGGATTAATATTAGATAAAACTTGTGATAAAAAAGGAATTAGTAAAATAAGAATTTTAGTAAATAAAAGGGGATTAAAGATAAATTAAAATAATATATTATTAAATTTAAAAGGAATAAGAAATTATATTATATAAAAAAAAAAGAGATATTAAAAAATAAAATATAAAAAAAAATATTATTTAATTTTTTAGATAAGTATAAATTTAACTATAACTAGATTACTAAGTATAAAAGAATCTTAACTAATTAAAGCTTTATTCTTAATTATTTTTATTATTATTATTATTATTATTATCTTTATTATTCTTTTTATTATTCTTTTTATTATTATTTTTATTATTCTCTTTATTATCTTTTCTTTCTACTATCGCCACTAGTAAGATTACTTTAATCAAAATTATTTAAGTTAAAATATATATTAGAATCTGAAGTACTACTTTTAGACAGATTATAATCATGTTAGATAATAAATTAAATATTATCTAGATATAGAACTAAATATTTATTATAGATTATTAAATAAGCCTTATATATATTTATATGTTTAAAGACCTTCTTAGTTATATTAGAATATTTATTCTGGTAAACTTATAAAGCTTTAATTATTTTTATAATTCTTTTAATAAAGCCCTTAATCTTGTGGTATAAAAGATAAGAATTATTTATTTTTTAGAGTTATTTTAGATATTTTAGCTTAGTTATAATATTTATTAGTAAGAATTAATTAAATTATAATTAGATTAAACTTTAAGCTAGTGACTTATTGTCAGATGAAATGCTAATCTGTGCTTATAACTATCAGATGGGGTAGGTAGGTCACGTGGGTTGAATAGAAATTTCAAATGACTAGATAGAATAAAGGAAATCGATCAGTCAGATGAAGTAAACAGTTCACCTGGACCACCTAGATCTGATGATAGACCAGAGGTCCTACCATTCACTATGCATGTAGATAGATGAAATTGATTAATGAATGAATGAATTAATGAGTAAATTGAATAGATGAAATCAACTTGTCAAATTAAAACAGTAAAATTAACTTGTCGAAAAGAATGAATCAATGCAGGTCATTGACTGCATATTTATAGACAATAAAATCAGGGCTAATTCAATTTGGCCCTAAGCAAATATTGCAAACATGAAATCATTAAATCTTTCTAGGCCTTTACCTGTAAATCATATTATTAATCTAGGCCTTTAAGATCAACCTCATAGATTATTATTAGATTAATATTTAATCATTTAAATGATTAAATGATCAGGATTTTATGATCAGAACAATTAGAACAATCGAGATTCAACATATAAATCATAATAAAATCATTTAAATGATATTAGAATGACCAGGGTAGCAATATTCACTTTATGGCTTATAAAATGAATAGGCGAGACATTCTGGACCCTTTGTATTGATCATCTGAACAAAGCCATTGATCGCAGTGGTTGAAATAAACTTTTAATTTCCTAAATAGGAAATTCATCGACTTATGTTTTCTGACTTCCATAGGATTCTAGCGACCGGTGATTTCCCAAAGAGGAAGGTAAGCTAGTCCAAAATAGGAAATTCTTCAGAAATTTTTCTTTTTCATTTTCCGCTCATATTGAGCTCAGTTTCACCTCACTTTTCCCATACAATTTGGTGGTGGAAGTGAGAGTTCAATGAAGTGACAGTAAAGTTGTAGTAAATTTTGAATAATTTCGGTTGTGGGGTTAGATCAGGTGATTTTGATAAATCAGGTGATGTCAGGTGACCCCATTTGACAGTAGATAAAGTAGCTAAATAATTTAATAATATTAAATAGCTAAAATTATCTATCTTACTATTATAAAAGGAGGATACGAAGTCAGAGTACTAATTTTATAATATAATTAATTAGCCTGGTAAATAACTAAGAAGATAAGAGAGAAAATAGATACTTACTAAGTAATAATTTCTAGGGATAAATTAACCTTAGAAATAGGGAGTAAATTAAAGTAAAAGTAATATATTAACTTTAGAAAGGCAGTATATAAATATAATAAGATATTATTAGTTTATAAAATCCACCTTTGTGTGGGTCGAACCCAAAAAACCTAATAAACCTAATAATAACCCAAAAAACCCAGCAATAACCTAGTAATAACCCAAAAAACCTAAAAAAAAACCTAATTCTTATCCTAACTTCCCTTTCAGGTCCCCAAAAAATTTCAACCTACCTTACTATAAGAACCTCGCAGGGGTAACTAGTTATTTTTATCTTAACTTTTATCCGGGAGGCGGCCCTCTAATAAAAATATTAAATAAAAATATATTATTTTTCTTATATTTTTATTTTTTCTCTAACCTAGATTTCTATAATTAAATAGACTCTCTTCCTTTAAATTAAATTACCTTGCAATGCTTTTCGCAAAAAATAATAAGCTTTTAAAATAATATTTTTTAGCCCAGAAGGATCTACTAAGTATTATATATAAACTTATAATAAATATATATTTCTATAATTACTAGCTAGAATATAAAATTTTTATGTTAAGCTCTCCTAACCTACTTAATCTTAATATTTAAATAGGTAATTAACTATAAACTTGGTCTAGCCTAAAAAGATATAAAGTTATTTCATGAATTTTCAAAAGATTCATATTATGAATATATGGTGATAGTTAGTATAACCTAGAACAAATATAAAAAACAGTATAATATTTTAATAACTAAGCAGCTTTATAACTAAAATTATACAAAGATTAGGTTAAATTAAATTAAATTAGGTTTTATTGGGGCCCCAGTATTGGGTCCGGGTTGGGTCTGGGTTAGAGAAGTTTAACCCGGACCCAGGCTGGGTTGGGTTTTGGGTCGAGATCTTCGACCCAAGTTGGGTTATGCGGAAGTCTAACTAATTGCATAAAGATTATTATAGGCGTTAATCTAGCTATAATAATCAGAGAATTTTTAACAGCCTACTTTAAGCGCCTTTTATATAGTTACCTTTTAAGGAATCTATTTCCGCTTTAATTAGCTAATAAAAAAGTTAAAATGATTAAATAGCTTATTATAAATTTTAAAGATTTAATATATTATAATGTCTTTAATTTTAGAGATAGCTGTAGTCTATTAATAAAAGGGCTAAATAATATAAAGAAGGTAGTTAATCTGCTATTACTCTTCTGTATTAAGTCTAAAGTAAGGATAGTTATACTTATTATAATATTTATTATATACCTTTGAGAGCCGCTTAATACGCTAAAATATAAAAAAAGTTAAACTTTACCGCATTTTAATATCTTAGATAGGGAGAAGCTTTAATTCTTTATTTTAAAGATTTAAGAATGTTTTTTAGCGCTGAGGACTAGTGTTAATACTTATAGCTAGGCTATAAATTTAATATTACTAATTAGATAACCCTCTAAAGGTAAAAGAAAAAAATATAATACTAACTTTTATAATAGTATAAATAATACTATATTTTTAAAGCTGTCTTAATAATATATCCTATTTAGCTAACCACTACCGGTCTATGCTATCATTCCTTGGGTTAAGCTTTATTACCCCGAGGAGATCCTTTAGACTAAGTTAAATAATATATACTAAATAAGGGATTCTAATAATTAAGATATTATTTAGAAGATTTAAGGCTTGCATCAACGTTTGCATATTTTTAATTAAAATATTATTATTTAATATATTATTAGTTATAACTGCAAGCATCTAATCCATTATCCAATGCTCTTATAAGTATTTAAATAGAATCTGGCTTAGATTATTACCGGAGTACTTTCTATATAAGGGTTTAAAGCTTAGAAGGATCTCCTAGTACTTCTAGTTTTAATTAATAAAGTAACTAGTAATTACTATAAATGCCTGTTCAAAGGGAGATATCTAATAATTAAAAATAATTAAAAGCTTTGTATCTGGGGGGAGATCTAATAAAATATAATATTAATCTTTTTATATAATTTTTTAAAGATCATATCGAGCAGTTTAAGAAGTAAGAAGTATAGGGCTTAATATAGTTAGCCGAGCTATTAATATAAGGTTAGTAAGGTCTTTATACCTTAAGATCTAAAAAGAAAGGTTTAATTTAATAATAAATTTAATCTAATATTATTTCTATTGCTCCTTACTAAAAAATAGCTTCAAACGCGATGTGCTTTCGGCCTAAATTAGAAGAGTAAATTATTAATTTACTATTTAAATAGTAAAGGGCTTATATATACTATATATTTAATTAATTGTTATAAAGTCTTTTGCCTTACAGTATTATTTATAGCTTTAATACATTT